GCGCGCGCGCGCGCGCGTGCGTGCGTGTGTGTGTTTATGTGAATGTTAAACAGATGACGCTAATATCCCTTTAAAGACCAAAAGATTTTTTTTTAGTATTTAAGAAGAAAAAGTAATATAATAAATATGTGGATATCATCTATACCTACATATTTTTTGACAAACATTTGTTCCAGCTAAAGATAAAATAAATCTATAACACACTCTCTCTCTCTCTCTCTCTCTCTCTCTCTCTCTCTCTCTCTCTCTCTCTCCTCTATTTTCTCTTTTTCTTCTCTCTCAAAAGCTAACTTTACACTACTTAATTAATAATATATAAATAATTAATCAAGATATTCAAAAATTATTGATAGAAAAAACTAATGAAGTAAATTTGTGACTGAAGTAGCACCTGAGCTAAATCAAATTAATTCAGATGATAATACAGATAAAAAAATCTAAAATTCAAAATTTTATTCTAAAAAGTAAATAAACTTAAAAAAGCTGGCAGAAGTTCTATTTCGATAAATAATTCCTGTCCTTGACAAGCAATAATAATATCGTGTAAACATTTTCGGTACCAAAGCTCAACCAATAAGCAGCTGTCATAACGGAGTAATAGCCACATTCACTGGTAACACACGATAATGAAATATGTCTACCTATGTTATGCCCTGTCTATTAACTTGATTCATGAAATATGCTTCTCTAGTGGCCACCACTGCATACATGATCGATACAGTGCCATTCGGCGTCATTATACCATCGCTGCGAAATGGATAGCCCATCAACTTCAATGACGATTGTATCACAACCTTCTCTATTAGCGTAAGTACAGGAGCGTTTTTGTAATTATCTCTAACAATAAGAAAAACAATATCAAAAATTATAAATGTGAATTACAATTTAACTACTACTTAATTTGTGATTCAACTTGATCTCAATAAAATTATAACATCAAAATGGCATTAAAAGTGGCTCTAAAACGATTATATTAAAAATTACTTTCCAATATTAATCATGATTCCTTTTAATGTCATTTATCTATTATTATTTTGAGATTTCAAAAAGACAAATTCTTTAAGTTATTTCTGAAACCATTGTTAAATATTTATTTTTAAAAAGAACTAAACTCTTTTTTTTCTATTTTAAAATCTTCAATACGTATTAATTGAAATTACAAGGTTATTTTTTTAATTGCAAATTATTAGCAGTGTTATCTGTAAGAAATGATAACGGCATTGATTAGTAATCACACATTTTTTTTTAGAAAAAAGTACGAAGCATTACATTTCTCAATCAAAATAGACACGGTTTATAGTCAATAATCGATTCTTCGCTCTTTGAGACTGTCTTAAGTACAGTCTTAAAATAAATCAATCAGAGAATTATATTAGCATGTTAAAATTTACTTAAGTCTTACAATATAAACGAACTATGAACACCGTCGTATATCTACTAGTATTCTTAATTGTTTGACTAATTGGAATTACATGCTAGTGTTCAATATTTCCGTTAAACAGAAGCCAATTAATCCATACTCGTCAAGGCCGCTATAAAATTTATTATGAAAATCCGGACTGAACGTTTTCACAGATCGTTGTATAATCTGTCGTATTACGTCTTCAATTTGCTCATTGCTTGCTGGCTTACTGTCCAAAGAAAATGATATCTCCTTCTAAACAAAAATAATGTTGGATGAGAAATTCGTTGTGATAAAAGATTTTAGCTAGATCAAAGCTAGATCTAGAAATGGTATATAAATTTACATGTAATTATTAAGATTCAGTTTTGATCGGTATACGCTTCATTTCTCGCTTGTTGTATATTCGCATTGTACGGTTCCAATAAACTGTTTTATTGTTGTAAAAAATTTTCTTGTTCTAATCAGTCAGCCATTATTATGATGTTACCACTATTGTAAGTACGACCAAAAGTGTCGAATTCGTGTCGAGCTAATATATTGTTCTTTCAATATTACTGAGATCACAATAGTAAAGGATAACAAACTATATAAATATTTAAATTATTGTTAACTTCATTTATACGTTGTTTAATATATCAGTTTTATAACAATTTCTTTATTAATTATTCACATATGCATATGTTTCGCATGGATAAATCAAACAAATAACTTATTTTGCATTTATACTTATTTGAAAAATATATAATATTATAATTAAATTATAATACTAATTGTAAGATGGTAGATAGAAATATAATGTAATGCAAAATTATATTATAAAATAAAAGTATAATTTTCAAGTATTATAGATAAAAACATTGCCGTTATAGTATAATGTTGAAAAGCAAAGAGAAGCCAATGAGTAATTCAAACGAAAGCAGATTAATACACACACACACACACACACACACACACACACACACACACACACACACACACACACACATTTCAAGTTAACTATTAACATAAGAGATTAAATTATTATTTACCCGCAAATCTTCGGGATAAAGGAATTGTATGATAGGACAATCACCAGTTTGATCAAACACTTGTTCCTCTGAAGATCTTTAAGAGCTTTTTCAATAGCTCGATAGCTGCCATTACGAAGAGTATATTGTAATAAAATGAACGCACATAAACATAAAATGAACTAAAGATAGTTCGACTCTCTCTCCCTTCCATTTCGAATTGTTTTAAATGCTCTGTTTGTGTTTACGTGTGTGTATTTAAATTATTATTATAATGCGGCCAGTAATTCTCATTGTATGACTGCGTTATAACAATATTATACAATACTTTATGTTTATTAATTATATAATAATTATTGTAATATATATATTTCGATACTTGTAATAAATATAGTTTATGATCATAATTATAATTAGATATTTTTCTAAAGTCACACTATATCAATCTGAAGGCTCATGATATAACTCGGAAGGTAAAATGT